CTGTATTAGACTTTAAAATCCCACGTTCCAAATACTATACAACTATGTCATAATAATTGTATACAGAATGAAATTATGTAAGAGTAATTATTAATAAATATTTTCACGATAATTTATAAGACAGTTTGATCTGAAGGTAAGATTCCTAAAATAAAGCTAATTATTCCAACAATTTTAGCATGTGCTTCCTCCTGATAATTCTTCTTTGAGATACACCTGTTTTAAAAATAGTTTTTACTAATTTTAGGTATTGGCAGAAACATTACAATTGTAAACCTGATGCCCCCCAAACATACACCACCGTACATATATATTATTTAAAGCTATTTTATACTCATTTTTCAGCATGAATAGCTACAAATACTTTAACCATGTGTGTAATATATACTATAATTATGTCTGGAAATAAAACATTTCAGTTGTAGAAAAAAATGTAACAGAAATACCATGAGTTATTAGGAAGAGAAAATGCATGAAGCTACTAAGGTATTAAGGTACTTATTTCTTACTCATTCTCATCAGCTATGGAGAACATGAATTTCTGTTAATTATTAATCCTGCTTTATGCTCTACTGCATCACAAAAGCTTTTGGATTTTGAATCTCTTAACTTTATTTACTTCTGTGAATTTCTGAACGTGAATATGACTTGCAGTTTAATGTATTCACTGATAGCCACTTTCTGGCTTAAGTTATTATCTTACTTTTCCATTACTAAGTGGATGCTTTTAACCTTTCATAGCCATGTATGCTAAATAAGAAACAGTGCATTAAAGCTGACTATGGTTCCAGTAAGAAAGAAACAGCAAGGTATCGGCTTCAAAATAGGACTAAGAAAAAGAAGCTCAGACAGACAAGCTGCATAAAGACTAAAATACAAAATCAGGTACAACTCACTTTAAATGATGTCATTAAAACAAAATAAAATCACTGCCTAGCACCACTGAAAGACTATGCTTTTTACAATGTAAAAACATGCAGTAAAAAAATCAGTTTCACTAACTTGCTTCCTTCTGAACTAAGCAGCAAAATGCCTATATTGTACAATGATTTACTTCAGGGGTGGATTCTAAATTTTTTTACTACCGGTTCTGTGGGCGTGGCTTATTTTGTGGGCATGGCTTGATGGTCATGTGGCAATTAGGATTTAGCAGAGGTACTGGTCTACCAGACTTTTAACTGCTTGCAGAGCTGTACCGATCTACCCATTTATTTTTGCAGTCACTGATCTACCCATTTATTTTTGCAGGCACTGATCTACTCATGTATTTTTGCAGGCACCAATCTACTCATGTATTTTTGCAGGAACCGGTCTACTCATTTGTTTTCTTTTAACACTGATCAGCTGTAGGGCGGCCTTTGAAGCCCTGCAGAAAGAGTTTAAACAGTTTTTTTCCCTCTAGCCATCAGCTGGGACTCAGGAGACAGCAATAGATTGGGGGTGGGGCCAAATAAAAGGTAAGAATAACGCAGGAGGTGGGTGGGGGGGCAGCAGAACCGGTTCGGTGACAGCTGGCTCGGCGGAACCGGGCGGAACCGGGCGGAATCCACCACTGATTTACTTGAAGTAACCATCTGCCTCCATTTCTTCAGGTCAGGTATAATCTATCAATATCTCTAGTGATATACTAGTAAAGTATAGTGAACAGTCATCAATTTTCTTGTTTTTCAGTCCTAACTGTCCAGTTAAGCTTGTATTCAGTTAATATAATTATTATTTATTAAATTGATTTCACCCAACACCAGTTCCTCTGGATGGTTTACAAATTGTTAAAAACATTTAAAAACAAGCAACAGAGCAAAAACAAAGAAAAATATGGAAGGAAAATAAACCAAGAGGGGAACAGAAAGGAAGAAAGGGACATCGTCCCCAAATGTTTGTGCAGAGTCAGGTCTTTAAGGCCCTATGAAATATCAGACGGATGGGACTGCCTGAATTTTGGAAGAGGATTTCATTCCAGAGGGCAGGCACTGTAACCAAGAGGCATGCTTCAGAGAACCAGACATCATTCAATCAATGGAATGTGGAGCATGCTAACCTAGATTGAACAGGCCAGGCAGATACTGTGTAAAACAGGTCATTGCTCAAATCAGCCCCCATGCCATGTGCGGCTTTATAAGTAGCAACCAACACCTTGAATCACACCCCGAAGCAAACTGGTAACCAGTGCATCTCAAAAAGCAGAAGTATTACTTGGGCATACAGGGATATACATTACTGCCTGCCCCAGCTGAAGCTTCGGGATGATCTTCAAAGAAGCCTCATAGAATACAATACACAGAAGTCAATGTGAAGACCCCAGTCTAGAAGAGGGCACAACTGGTGCACCAGATGAAATCAAAGGCTTTCCTGGCTGCAACTGACAGCATGCTAATTAAGCCACCTGCTCATCAAGCAGGTGCTTCAAGTCCAGGAAGAACTCCAAATTGTGCACCTCTTTTGAATGGGAGAGTTTCAAACCATCCTTTGTCAAAGTTGGGAGTATCCCCAGATGCGTGCACTCCAAATACCCACAGCACTCAGGCTTGGTAGGACTGAGTCAGTGATAGTTCCTCCTCATCCAAACCCATACAGCCTCCAAGCACTAGGACAGGACTTGACAGTATCACTTGGCCAGCTCAAAGCCTAAAGACATAATTGGATATCATCAGCATACTGATGATACCAAAACCCAAACCGGCAGATGAACTCACCCAGCGGTTTCATGTAGATGTTGAAAAGGAGGGGAGAGAGAAAAGAACCTTGAGGCAACCACAAAGAAGAGTCCTAGGGGACGATCTCTCCCCGCCAACCAACACTGACTGGAACTGGCCCTGGAGAAAATAAGAGAACCACTATAACACGCTGCTCCCAATCCCCAACGCATGGAGCCGGCTCAGAAGAATAGAATGGTTTACGGTATTGAAAGCCACCAATATAACTAATAATATAGTAATGACATGCTATACAAGGCTAACTAGATTGCTGAACCAGGCACTGGAAGCAGAGAGTATTAAATGCCAATGTACCACCTATCAGTTATATAGCTAAAGAAATGAAAACTATTTAGGAGCAAGAATCCTGAATTCTTTTATGCATTACTTTTTCACAATTCAATGCTATCCTAATCATAAATTCTTGGAGTGAACAAACACAATGCAACCAGGGATTGGAAAAGCTACAGAAAAGCATGCTGAAAGCACTATTTGTACATGTACTTTTTTTAGAGCATCATAACTGAACTATTATGGAAGTGAACTATTATAGGTCTTCTTTGTAGACCTATCTAAGAAGCAAACCATCAGAGTGCGAAAAAATCATTAATTGATTAGTGGCCTATGACAGCTATATTGTAAAAAGATTGTGATTGTATTTCTATGACCTAAACATTTTTAAAAAAGAAAAATATTACAGAATATAGCAATTCTAAAATTTCATATACATTAGAATTAAATTGGTTAATTTTCCAGTTTAAAACTCTCCACTATTACTTCGATGGCTTAAATGCAATAACAACATTCTAAGCAAATAGGATGAGTTTATTAATCAGAAAACTCAAACTGCTGGACTCAAGGTAGACTGGCAATGCCACTGGTGTTTATCTCTGGAGCTTGTCAACTGACTTCTCTTGCTAGGAAGTTTCTTAGAATTATTTACTTTCTGAACTCCAAAGGAATTAAAGAACCTTTGAAATTCCAACTTCATCTTTCTACTACTTCTTTCACAGAGTCCCATTCAGTAAGATTGTGAGATGCTTAATATCAGCTGCAGGAAAAACAAGATTCAGGTACATGTGATATTATATACAAATGTATAACTACTATGTAGATAATCTATATATTACAGAAACTCTCTTGTTTGAAAACTTCAATTGGGCAAAATGATGCATCATAGGGCAACATTTTTTTGACCTTCCTCCCTGCCCCTCCTGATGCAATCATTGAGTTCCTCCTTACCTCCATTATGCTGGCTACCACCCTCAAGGAGTGCTGCCTCAAACCCCATGGCACACCAAGCAGCCCTGTTGCCACAATGTGCCAAGGAGTCACATTGTCTCAATGTGCCAAAAAACCCATAGAACTTCAGTATACCAAGAAGCCCCATGCCTGCACAGCTCTGGGGCTGCTTGCCATGCCTCAGCAACAGGGCTTCTTGGCATGCTGAAGTTCTGAGGCTGTAATAACATACATAAATACATCATTTTGTTTTCCTATTTAAATACAATTTCCATATATTAGTGTACATTCCTAAGAGATCTGTAAGGGGCATGCATAAGTGCACCAACATGCCTACCATCCCTGTCCTAATGTCCCCTTTTTATTCGCATCCATTTCATGTATTCATAATCATGTTTATACTTTTATCTGTTATCTTATATGCTTGACAAATAAATAAGTAAAAAAATAGCATGAGATTAAAAAAAATAGGCATCTTCCAGGGGATGGTGAAGATTTGTGTTAATTACATAGTCCTAAACTTACTATAATAATTGAATAATGGTTGTAAGTTGTTGAAGTTGTAAGTCAAAATACCCACATGACTGGAAGCAATTTTCTGGCCTTTTTTGTGATGGCCGTTAAACAAATACTATAATTGTTAAACAAACACCGCTGTCACTTGAATGGGTAGTTTCGGGAAAAACTGGCAAAAATCAGGTAACCACAGAATGCCACAATTGATTCTAAAGCTGACCCACCCAACATGTGGTCACTTGGCTGTGAGAAGGCAGCGGTGAAATCATTTACGGTGACCCAAGTGCTTTATGGGCTGTTAAGCATCTGTTTCCATGGCTGTCATAATGTTGAACAGTTGTAAAATGACCAGTTGTTAATCAAGAATACCTGTAATCTCTTTTCCCCTGCTTTTAATCATTGGAATCAAAATAGAAAAATTACTAGTGTCCATTTTGTTAGTTCTCATTTGCCATGCAGTCCTTCTTGGCTTTTGGATAGTCATAAACCTATTACATTTTCAAAAATATCACTTTGGTAGAGAAAGAAAAGGAAAACAAACAAGATTACCTGTAGCCAAAGCTTGTTTCCTTGAACAGTCCTACCATTGGCAGTGCAATGAAAAGTAGCAAACTGGCCAGCATTGACTTCTACACTCTGGAGGCGCAGGAAATGGGGTGTGCTGGCTGTTGAAAATAAAAAAGAGACAAAGGAAGAATCATATTATTACCAATAGCACTAGATTTATATACTCTTCCATAGTGTTTTACAGCACTCTCTGAGAGGTTTACAATTGCCCCCAACAATCTGGGTCTCATTTTATTGACCTCGGAAGGATAGAAGGCTGAGTCAACCTCAAGCACATCAGGATTGAACTCCAGTCTGTGGGCAGAGATAGCCTGCATTACTACATTCTAACCACTGCTCCATCAATGCTCCTATTAATCCCACATTATTCTAATTGTCTTTTCCGATTCGATTTTTCCAATAATTGCTTTCACAGAATAGTAAAGTTGGAATGAGCCATTCAGATTTCAGTAAAAGAATTCAAATCCTATTTTGTTTTAAACATTTCAATAACATATTTATATTGTAAGCCAAGAAATCCCAACTGAAATTAATTTTAAAATATTTATTTCTAATTATTCATAATATTGTATATAAGTCCTAATGAAAGAACAATATTAGCTTTCAGTTTCTACTGAGCAGCAAACTATTTTGGCTATATAACTGTCTTGTAAAACATTTCCATAAAGATTGTACTGAAATCTAACTGATGTTTTTAATAAAAGCTATAACATACAGAAATCAGTTATCTGGCAAAAATATTAAGAGATTATTCTTTATTGCTCTTTTTATACTCAAAGAAAGGTCGTTTATATACAGATAAATTATGGAATAAGTAAAATCAAATCTTCTTCAAGTTGAGTTCAGATCCTATTGACTTCATGAACAACACATATAGTTTTCTTGGAAAAAGTATGGAATGTACTGTATTTGCTATGTTCTTCTGGGCTGTTTTTCAACTCCTTGATCTAGCTCAGAGTCTTACAATTCACTAGGGGGCTCCACATGAACCTCTATAAGTAGGTCTCACACTGCTTTAAATTAGGAATGCACATAAGGTCAGCCAGGAATCGCTGAGGCATTTTAGAACTAATGTATTTTACTGCTGGGAATGATCAGGAAATGCATGGGATATGGATCCAGCATCTACTGCATTGCTGGAACAATGCCTTTTTCTTTTTGAAAGGCCAGGATCCTGCTCCAATTGCCTTTGAAAGTTCATGTAACATGAATTTAGTCTCCTATCATCAGCTAGCAAAGAGTATGCTTTTCAATGATCTTAGAAAATTTACATGGTATTTTTGTTTTAAGAGTTCTAGGCACCTACAGATTTAAATAGACCCTTTATTTGAGGCTCAGACTAAAATAACAGATTTATTCCAACAATATTCTGAAATAATTGAAAATATAATATTCACTTACTACATGGATGACCTAAAACCTTCACATCATCAATAGCCAGATATCCTTGGTAACCTGAAGTGATAACTTCAAAAACTACCTGAAATATGAAAAAGCAAGCAATATCAATAAACCTAGTAGCATAAGTACAGCTGTTTATTTCTTTAAATAGAATGTTGACTGTTTTAAAAATATAAAGAGTTAGGCATTTAAAATAATCCAGGAAAAGATAGGAATCCAAATTTACATTAATCAATAATTTTACCCATGCACAATTTTACTGGCTGTATTGTTACTTGCAGCCAATTTTGTTATCCATTGTCTAATTCAGTAAATAAAATACTCCTCCAAACATTTTGGGATTATCAAATTTATACCAGTTAGATTAAATATTAGGCTAAGAATTATTTGGCAGAGCATATCTTTTGTGTTCAATATGCAATTTTCTTCCACAGTGGTATCAACTGAACAACAGTATCATATAACATTTTTTTCACCAAGGTACTATACTACTATTGCTGCTGATAATTCCTGGTTGCTTGAAAGTTATATTAAAGAAGAATAAAATATTGAGGAAAAACATTACAGTTCTGTCTTACTCACTAGTCTAATAAATTTTATCATGAAATCAATGTAATATATTACAATGAGTCTGTAATTCATGTAATATTATTCTGTATACTATTGATATAAAGCAAGAAAGAAAAATCGGACATTTATGTTTAGCCAAGGAGCCTAAAAAGTACACTGTTTGATGGTAGTGAAAGCTGGTGGGTAGTCAAGAAAATAAACAGATACATACTTCCAATATAAAGATATTTTTTTTCTAGTGCACAGCCAAGACAACTAAAAAATTCTCTTGATACGCTAGTAGAAAAAATGATTCATAATTCAAAGTCAATGATCTGGTATTGCTAACATTACATTCAAAATAAATAAATCAGGCCATTGTTTCCCACCCCTACACCTATTCCTAATAAGTTCCATAATAACATCTCTATACTTCCTCTGCATTTGCTGTAATTGAAAATACTTTTATATCAGTGCAATCGTGCAAATATTTATCTGAATCAACAGCTCAGATTTTCTGGAAAGTGAGTATAAAATAAGCTGAAAAGGAAGAGGAGAAAACAAGCAATGCATTTTTTTTTGTTATTTCTGTATATTTATTAAATTTCTACACTGTACAATGTTAGAACAATGGTATTGTTCTTTCAAAAGCTGCTATAGCTCATGGATAAGGCACTGATTTACATTATTAACATTTTTGCATACTCCTATTAATTGACTAGAGCCATGATGGTGAACCTATGGCATGTGTGCCGGGAGTGGCATGCAGAGCCATCTCTCCAGGCATGCGAGTCATTGCCTGTTGCTCTTCCAGGCTCTGGCGCACTGGACAGCTGGTATTCATGCATGCGGGAGCGCTGGAAACCGGAAGAGCAGCCGCCCAGTGTGCATGCCTGTGCTGGGAAGATGATCTTCCGGTTCCCGGCGTGCACATATGCACCGGCCACCTGGTCTTCCAGTTTCTGGCATGCATGCGTGTGCGAAGACCAGCTGGCCGGTGTGCATACACGTGCTGGAAACTGGAAGATCATCTTCCTGGTGTGTGCATGCGCATTGGACGGCAGATCTTCTGGTTTGCGGCATGCGCACAGCCGTTTCGGCACTCGGTGCCGAAAAGGTTCGCCAACACTGGTCTAGACGATACTCTATTAGTTTATAGTGTTTTACACATACCAAAGTCAGACTGAGTAAAATAACCATATAGTCAACTGTAGATAGTTGAGTGAATTTGGTTCAAAAAAGGATCCTTGTGAATGTGTCCTTAGTTAAAACAATGAAGAGTCTAATATGTTTATTGTGGTTTAGCTTTTATATTGTATAATGTCCTATATTCTATCTCCCATCAACTTTGACAGGGTAAGCAACTAGAATATAAGCTGAAAACAAACTGCACTCCTTACTTGCACTGATGATGTTACTTAATTTGGGTAATGAGACGTCTGCAAGAAAACAACCAAGTTCCGAGAGTACCAAGGATTCCTTATATTCTTGTTTTTTAAAAAACACCTTTTTGTTGTAACTGACTAATGCTACTTTTGGAAGGCAAAAGTAGGGGGGGAAATGCTAGAAGCATTTGATGTTCTGTTCATGATGACGGTGTATTATTTCCTATATGATTTTCTAGCAGTGTTGGCATTTTCACTCCAAACTGCCCATTTTTAATTTTAATATCTCTGAAACATCTAACATGGAAATCACTCAGCAGTTTAGGCAAAGTAGCTCTTTTGAATAGAAAAGCTACTATAACCACAGTTTCTCTAATTGACATAGTAGCCATATCAGCCAGGAAAAATCTGGTTAAAAGACAGATTACATTTCTTCATGAAAAACAAGCACTGGATGTCTGCCTTAGAGTTGTCTTACATCACTCTACCCTTTAGATGCCTGCCAAACAGGAAATAGGGAAGCAGTTTAACATTGCACTGTCCCTGATCCTCCCTGCTTCAGTGAAGAGCAAAATTAGCTTTCCATTCCTGCCACTTCTCCCTTCTCAATGGAAATGAGGGAGGGAGCTTACTTGCCACCTTAAATGATTACTGCTGAAAAATGCGCTAGTACTTTATAAATAACTTGTTAGTTCCACAGAACAAAAGGAATAAATGTATTTTCTTTCAGTACATGACCTCATGTTCTAAGCAATTAAAATGCCTGTAGTTCAAAGGTGAATTGTACCTAATCATAAACTCAATTTATAATAACATATTGAAAAAGACTAAAACTTTACTTGCATCAGTTTGATTAATTAAGGCACTTATATACAGTTAAAATTAGTATCAAATAGAAAATTTAGTCCTTAGATTATTTGTCTTGCATCTTGTATATCTCCTAATCCTACACAACCATTCTACATAACTACATTTTATGTATGCATTTCACATTGTGCTTTGTACTTCTATTGATAAAGAAGAATTTATGAGATTAGTGTCAACTATAGCCTCCAACAAACAAGCAATTTAATACAAAAAGTGAAAATGGGGCTTATGTAATTATGAAGTTGTTTGTACTGATTTATTTTTCAAGGTCCATGATTCCATAAGGACTTCAACAATTCCACAGTAAATTGCTTGTCAGTTAAGGCCACTATTTTGTTCTATTTTTATTCTCAAAGTCTCTGTCAGTATTTTTAGCAGTGGTGACTGAGTCTCACTGATTCTGTTTGAATCAAGTGCCTGTCTGTTTATTGTTGGATGTGTACATAAATCTAAAGGATGGCTATTTTTAAGTAATGCATAAGCTATTATGACTTTTTTTGAATTCCAAACAGAATTGCCACTTTGTCTAGAGAAAGCTAAATGAAAGCATTATAATCCTGCAGTTTCAACAATAAACCTATTTTATTTATACTAAAGTTATGTTCACAGCTCTTCCGTAACATAAAAGGAAATAAGATTATGTATTTAACCGCTTGAAGAGAGCTAAATTGGTCTTGAATCAAATTTGAATTAAAGTTTGAACTACATTTGATATTAAGCACTCACTATATATCAGGAGTCTCATTTACTTTGGCCATGTCATATGCGGGAATTCACTGGAGAAAGAAATTATGTTTGGAAGGGTTAGAGGTAAAAGGAAAACAGGCCGCCAAAGAACATGGTGGCTGGATACTATCAAAGCTGACACCCGACAGAGCATAGAAAAACTCAAAGAAATAGTGCAAGATTGGAAGATGTGCAGAGACCTGGCCCATAGAATTGCCAGGAGTCAGACTCAACTGAATGGATAACTACTACTACTTCTTCTTCTTCTTCTTCTTCTTCTTCTTCTTCTTCTTCTTCTTCTTCTTCTTCTTCTTCTTCTTCTTCTTCTTCTTCTTCTTCTTCATCATCATCATCATCATCATCATCATCATCATATATAAGGCAATATATAAGAGTTAAATACTGATGTGAAACCCTGGAATGTCTAACTCCCTAAACATTTCATTTGTAGAAGCAGCAATGAAGCTCAGAAAGTTTAAATCTAATTATCATTAAGTAAGAATGAAGCTGGAGTTCTCCTAAATATCTTTCCTAGAGACTAAGCCATACTGAGTTCTTATTTTCAAGTAAACATGATTAAACATGCAAAGAAATTAACATAAGAAAAAAGGATCTGTCTATTCTTTATAATACCTTATAATATCCTTCAATCAAAAAGAGTCTATATACATACGCAACTTTATTTTTTTTATAGCTGTAGATTTTGAGATTCATAGGATTCATATTATGTTTGCTTTTCAGCAGCCTATTTTCTTTCACATAAAATATAAAATAATGATCTATACACAAAGAATATGGAGTATATTTTAGAGTTATGCAAATTGCCGGCATGTAGGTATATCACCTTAAAGGCAAAAGGAAACTAATAGCCATCAGGATTGATAATTTAATCAGCTACAAGAAAGGAAATGAAAACCCATTCTGCATGAAAGTGAATGAAAAGAATAAACTATTTCTTATACAGCAGAAGAAATAAAAGTTGTGCCAACTAAATCAAAGACTTTTTTAAAATAAAAAATAGAAGAAATGTCTTGAAGTTATCCATTATTAATCAGCATCTGGACATAAGAATAAACAGATCATACATGAGAAACGTTTAAATTACACATATCAAGTTTATATTACATTCATGTAATATCTAATTCTATCTATATCTAACTAGTTAGCTAAACAGCAGCAATTTATTCAAGCTATTTTTATGCATTTTTAGTGTACATCTAGAAGAAATCTCCTGTACTTATGGAAAACTTACTAGTGGACCACTTACTGATGGACAGTCCGTAAACAAATCATTAAGAAGAGATTAAATAACTACCTAGCTAAGAAACTTAGATTTAAATGCACATGATTTAACATGAAGACCGATATTGTTTCATATAAGCCATGGCTTAGAGAAATAATTAATAGCTGCAACATATATCTTGAAAGGAAACAATAACAATGTTCAGAAGGCCATGCATACTAAGAAGCACTTCAGTAAAAATTTCTAAATATAGAGATATAAAACACCACAACATCTACAGAAGTGTGACATACACTGCTTTTAAGATTCTTGGGTCTATTCAATAAGCATTAGTGGGAGTTATCTGCCTGTATTGTCTTCAGAAAAATAAATTCCAAAAACAAAATAAAAGTATTTTTCAAATAGAGAAAATAGTATTTTGGAAAATGAAGAAAATATTTTATTGGGCCCCTAAAGAATGCCATCCTTCATCCTTTTAAAGAAGGTACTTTGCTCATCCAATACCTTTGTAAATAATTTTATACAATAATTTATATAGCTCAAATAAAGGCATGATATAAATTGACTGAAAGGGAGGAAGAATGTTTCATAAGTTAAAGAACAAAAAAGCAGTACCTGGTAAAAGTTTGGCCAAAAGGTGCTGACAGCCAATTCCACTCTATTCCAAATACCAATAGGAGCATCTGAGACATTCCAAACTGGATTTCCAAGCTCACCGTTATTAACTTTCACATAAACATTCAAAATTCCAGGACTGGAACCACTCTTGCTGGAAACAAAAAAATTGAAATCGATGCAATGTGTGTCATTTTCCTTTAGTTGTGGTAGCAAAAGGTGGGCTTTTTGGCCAATTCTTTCAGTAGTGTTCACCAACATGAAAGATCCTGCAGAAAATAAATAAAAGAAAATAAATAATTAATTGGAGTTTAGATCGTTTCCCACTCCCAATTTCTTCTTTTGCTGCCATGCAATTTTTTTTGTTCTACAGAAATATGCAAAATGGTTTAAATTTGAAGCATTTTAAGAATGGTCATTCTAGAATTATCAGAACATATTTCAAACTTGAAACAATTGATTCAGATTTAAAATCCTGAAAATGTTTTCTGTAACCTTACTATCATACAATTATAATATATTATAATTACATATTGCAGATTGATATTGTATTAGATCCTGTAATAATTTTGAAACAATGGTAGAATAAAGTTTACTTTGGGAAATAAGCAAACCACCAAACTAGAAATAAACTACTTACTAGTTTTGAGATTCCATTCATAGCTAGGAAAGTTAGATATTTCCCCTGATTTCCTATATATTAGAAGGATAAAACAATATTTTCTTTTTAAAAAGTTGTAGAATCCTTAAGAAACAACACAATTTACTCTTGTTATCACTATGTGGATCAATTAAATCCATATAAGACACTCAGTGTCTTATACAGGTAGTCCTCAGTTAACTAGAATAATTGGGATGTGGAGCTCGATTGTTAAGCAATAGAGTGATAAAGTATGGTATCATGTGATTGTGCCAACTTACAACAGTAATTCTGGCAGTTCTGGTGGAAGTGAATCCCATGCAGTCATTAAAGATGACATCATGTGATCGCCATATGTTAGAAATTGAGAGGGAAGGTTACAAATGGTGATCATATGACTACAGGATGCTGCTTCTCTTGTGGTTTGTGAGCTGGCTGCCAAACTCAAATCACAATCAGTGTGATTTGTGGATGAACCATCTGTAAGTCTCTTCATTCAGTCCTATTGTATCTTTGAAAGGTTGTTGAATATGGTAATTAATGAACGATTACGTGTACTACATGCATAATATATATTTCAAATACTTTACATATGTAAGTGCAGGATACTGTATCAAGATCAAAAGTCCAGATGAGCTACACATGTCAATGACATGTTCTAAAGTATACATAGCTTAAATTATATATGTTCTGTCCCCAACCCCACGCACACACACCAACAGACATTCAGGAGTTAAAAACCAAACCAGCCGGCAAAATTCTTTTCCTTATGATAACGGAACTTGGCAACAACCTAGTGGCTGCCTGCCAAGAGTTTATTATTTACAAAAAGGAGAGATAACTTCTCCCCACTTCTGATACATCAAAGGAAAGCAGCTCAATAATTACAATCAAGTCCAGAGATAATCCAGTCTTAAAGCAAAAGTCCGGCAATACAGAATGGCGTGGAAGCTTTCAGCTTTGTTCATCACAAGGTTTGACTGGCCACCACGCTCCCTTTTATATCCTGTGGGGTGTGGTCCAGTGACTCAGCCTAATTTTGGACACGCCCTTTCTTCTGTTGCGCGTGCTTATCTCTGTGAAGCTGGCGTGGGTCCAGCCAAGACTCATTACCCTCATCACTGTCTATCTGTGGCTGCTTGGCCCTGGCCCTATCTCTTGCCCTTCGGCGGACACCGAAGGCATTGCCAGAGAGGAGGGTCCTGGAGAGGGAGGCCTTGCCAACTCCTCCCCTTTACTCTCGGAGTCCTCTCCTGACGATGACACAGGCTCCGGTAACGGAGCCACAACAATATATAGGATACATAGGACATTTTTTCTGCAGTGCTGTTTCTTGTTATATCAGAATTTGGATAAGTGCAGAATTATTCTTCCATATTAAAATGATATGAATATTAATTCAAGTATCAAAATCTAAAAGTGTAGGAATATAAAGACTACTAGTCCAAAGCAGACTTGGCTGAAAGCCAACAAAACTGATATACCTAGTAACATAATATTTTGATGCTATGATATAAGGAATAAGGAAAATGGACTAATAATTGAACCTACTGAATTGGACTGAATTTGTGAAGAAGGGATCAGTATGAAAGCAAAAGTTCAAAGCCAAATTTATGTGTTCAATGAAGAAATCCCACATCCCAAGTCCTGCTCTGCCGCCTCATCTTGGTGTATGCCAAAAGCATATATTCGCAAAGCATGAAAGTCTTCTTAGCTGCCCAGTTAAAGGAAACAGGCAGCAGTGATACAGGAAGATGCCTGATGCAGATGATCACTTTAGCGACAATGCTCAAGGCACCAATTCATACTGCGCTGGAGAAGACAATGGTAAATCACTCCTCTATTTTTACCAAGAAAACCACATGGATAGAAAATATAAAATGGTTGACATAATGAAGTAGGAAGGACCCCTTAATTTGAATGGAACTCAACATATTACTGAGAAAGACCATAGAATATTCTAGACAAAAAGATTTTGCTTCCTGAACAGTTGGGTGTACCATGCAGATTTTTGCTAATCACAATAATAACCGTAATTTAACCTATCACAAACCATTTTATAGAAATCTTCTGTTTTTACACAATGGCAATGTACACATTGGCTATGTTCCACACATTAAAAGAAACATACAAAAACATGAAACCGTTGTTGAAGCATATCCAGTAAGTCATTCTGAAAATACATTTGTGTCCACTTTGAAGTAGTCTATCATAATCACCAAAGGTTTTTTAAGAGGCAAAACTTGAAAAAAATGATTGCCCAGTAATGCTGGTGGCACAGAGTTTAGACTGTAGTATTGCAAGCTAACTGTGACCATAGCCTGGTGTCCGATCTTAATGGGGTTCCAGGTTGGCTCAGCCTTCTATCTTTCCATGGTCAGTAAAATGAGGAGCCAGATTGTTGGGGGCAATATGCTGACATTGTAAACCGCCCAGAGAGTGCTGTAAAGCAATATGAGGCAGTATGTAAGTCTAAGTGCTATTGCTGTTGTCATTTTGGAATACTAATACTGTTTATGACACAGCTAGATTAAAGCCTTTGGGATGTCATGTTGCTGCTGTTATCATATAGGAAAGAAAAATCTAACAGTGCAGAGATGGAATTACAGTAGAAACATAAAATGTATGAAGCATGAACACAAGAAAGCTCAACACAGTGGAAGTTGAAATGAAATGACTGCACACTGACATCTTAGGCATCAATGAATTGACATGGACTGGGACCTTTTCAGTCAGAAGATCATAGTATTTATTATTCAGAACATGAAAAACAAAGATGAGGTAATGTTACTTTACTATACCTTTTTAAAAGGTATAGTAAGAACAGTACTTGATTTCAATGCAATCAGTAAATAATGTCAATTAGACTTTGTGGTCATGCTCCATGTTTCAGCTACAGATGCAGACAAAGAGGAAGTTGATACCTTCTATAATAAAGTTAAATTTGAAATTGACAGAACATGGAAACAAAATATGCTATTGTGATTGGATACTGGAATGCCAAAGATGGAACCATGAAAGACAAAAATGTAGCTGGACTGTATGGTTTAGGAAAATGAAATAAAGCAGAAGATAATGTACAAATTTCTGCCACTCCAATTATTTTTTCATAGGTAATGCTATATTAAAGGAATGCGGTGGCTCAGTGGCTAAGATCTGAGCTTGCCGATCGAAAGGTCGGCAGTTCAGCTGTTTGAATCCCTAGTGCTACGTAATGGGGTGAGCTCCCGTTACTTGTCCCAGCTTCTGCCAACCTAGCAGTTCGAAAGCATGTAAAAAATGCAAGTAGAAAAATAGGGACAATCTTTGGTGGGAAGGTAACAGCATTCCGTGCACCTTTGGCGTTTAGCCATGCCGGCCACATGACCATGGAGACGTTTTCGGCCAGTGCTGGCTCTTCAGTTTTGAAACGGAGATGAGCACTACCCCCTAGAGTTGGGAATGACTAGCACATATGTGCAAGGGGAAGCTTTACCATTACCTTAATGCTATCTTATAACAACCAAAATTATGCCTCTATACATTGGACATCGCCAGATAAGAATATGTAAAAATCAAATTGCCTCTATTATTGCTAAAAGGAATTGGGGGAATGTAATTATATCATTAAGGACTTCGCCAGGTGCTGACTATGGAACAGATCACAAACTTCTCATTTGCAAGCTCCAATTTAAGCTGAACAACAACAACAACAACAACAACAACAACAACAACAAAAGAACGAAGAAGAAATTCAATTGATTTCCATGATATGAACCTAAACTTATACCCACCCATCCCCATTTTCAAGGAAAACATCAAGAATTGCTTTAAAGTCCTGAACTTCATTGACAGAGAACCAGATAAATTATGGAACGAACACAAGAATTTAACAAGTTCCTCTGAAAACAAATTCAGAGAGCTATTTTCTAAAGGATACCAATGGACAGATAGTAATCAAATCAAAGGAAGATGGAAGGAATATACAGTAGAGACCTCAACACGGTAAGATATTTTAGAAGATATTCCTTACTTACAAGGGTTTCTAGTACTAGAAAATGAAGTTAGATTAGCAGTTCGGTCATTACCAAGTTGGAAGGTTACACAAATTGAAGGAGTGCACTCTGAAATATGATAAGCAGTAGAAAAAGAAGTAGTAAAAGCTCTAACCATGCTCTGCCGGCTAATCTGAGGATCAACATAGTAACCAATTGAGGTTTGCAATTGACCAGGAAGAGGTCAATCTCCACTTTATTTTTCTTCATAGCATTTCCCCACAAATGCAGGGTCTGCTTTTTTTTTTTTTGTTGTTCTTGTTCTTTCGGATAAATCAAGTCTTGATCTATCCAGTAATTGTTGCCCAAGCCTGACATCATGGGCTGAGAAAGAATGGCTGGCCCAAAATCACTCCATCAGTTTTCATGCTTGAGGTGGGACTAGAACTGACAGACTCCTGATTTCTAGCCTGGTGCCTTCACTTAACCATGAACAAAATAGTTTCCATTCAATGGTAGTTTTAAAATCCTTAGTTTTCAGATGTAAACAGAAGTGTCAAGAAGGAGAGAAACATATAAAAGATTAAACTCATGGTTTATTATACTGAAGAATAAATCTAAAATCCTAAAGTTACAAGTAACATGCAGCAGCTTG